TTTTTTTTTTTTTTTTTTTTTTGGTATGGGGGATCGAACTTGGGTCCTTGTGCTTGCGAGGCAGGAGGTGGAGGCAGGAGGCGGAACCACTGAGCTAAATCCCCAGCCCACGTGCCTAGTGATTTTTAAGTAAAATCTCTCAAGATTGGCCAAAGCAAATACATCTGTGAACCAGATGCAGCCCAGCAGGTGTGAGGTTGGTCTTGACCTCCAGTCCGGCCTCCACTACCTGGCCATTCCTCTTGAACTTGTCTAGGCTGAGGTTCTAAAACCAGCCTCTGGCTGCCAGAAAGTTCTTGCTCACATCCAATTAAAACTTCTGCTGTTTTAAATCCCTTTTAATATTTGTGTGTGGGTGGAAGTATGAGCAAAAATTGGCTCTTTATTAAACAGCAACTTTGAAAACTGCAGTAAGCCAAGAAGTGGGTAGGCACCAGACGACTCCTGCTCGAGTCTAGCTCCGTCACAGCATGTCACATGTGTGACCTCCAGCAGGTCACCACCTCTGTCAACCTTAGCCTTAGGCTTGTTTCTTTCTCTCCCTCTTCCTTTTGCCTCTGCCCTCAGACTCACTGTCTCCCACCCAAGCCACATAATGGCAACAGTTACAACTAGAGCTACTTCTTCTCAAGCCAGTCTTTGGGGTCTGGCCTGTGCTAAGCACTTTCCATGCGTTATTATATTTTATTGTCCCAAAGATTCTATGGGATGGGCTTGTTCTCATATTACAGCTTATGAAACTGAGACCAAGTCTCCTTTAGTAAGTGATAAAGTGGGGATATGAATCTGAGTACCAGCCCAGGGTCCCCTTTGGCCATCACAATGGCCTTACCTACATAGAGACCTAGTCGTGACCCTCCACTGCTCAACAATGTCAGGTGGCTCCCTATTGCCGACCAAATCGCTGGTGGCCTGTTTTCTCTCAGCTTACCTTTCCTGCTTCTTCTAACCATACATTATGCTCTAGCCAAGGAATTCCCAATCATCCATGTGCCCCAGATACAAGGTTTTCTTGCCATGTTTGTTTGTTATTTGTTTAATATGTATAAATTCTCATTTACTTAATATTTGTCTATTTGTTTTCTACTTAAATTTATTTATTATTTGTCAGGACTTCTGCTGATTTAATTACTTCCTAATACTCATTAAGATGAAAAGCTATAAAAACATGCTCATCTAAGTGCATCTAAAGTCTCCCCATGCCCAGAACCCATGGCTGGGGCTCCACCTAAGGAAACACTTGCTTCCCAAGTACACACCACTTTTGACTTAGATTGTACCTCTCCCCAGACTGAGTGAGCTCCTGTTCACCCTTCACAGCCCTACTGGACCGGCCTCTCTTCTGTTTAGCTTTTCATGACTCATGTGCTTGTGGAAAGAGGGACAGCTTCCCACCACCCATCACATGGCCCAGAACTCTCAGCAAACAAGCCCCTGTTCCTATGAACCTCGAGCCCTCAGAAGCCTGGCACAGGGGCCTGGCACACACCAGAGGCTTGGACAGGAACCACCATGTGGCCAGCTCTTTGGCAACACTGAATGAATTAAACTGGATGTACTTTTTTTTGAAGCATAGGATGTATCATTTCAGGAGGACCACATGACAAGTTTTGGGTGGACACGGACTTGACACAAAATCACACAAAAAAGTTATTCGGTTGTCTCCTAGTCCTTCTGATGACACCAAGGAGAAAGACTCAGACTGGGGCCACCGTGTCTTTTTTTTTGGTACGGGGGATTGAACTCAAATCCTTGCACTTGTGAGGCAGTCACCAGAACCACTGAGCTAAATCCCCAGCCCAAGGGCCACCGTGCCCTGAGGACAGCTCAAGCATCTCAATCACCACTACTCCTTTTGGCCAAGGAAGAGTGCTGAGTTGGAATGGCCTGAAGTTAGCCCCACCCAGCCAGGGTTACTGACAAGGGGCTGCCTTCATTGTGCATATTTATACAGTAACTTTCAACTTATAAAACTACCTACTCAGGGGCCAGGGATTTAGCTCAGTGGTTCTGCCGCCTGCCTCGAAAGTGCAAGGTCCTGAGTTTGATCCCTGGTAACCCCCCAAAAATGTGATTTATACAACTACCTACTCAGATATATTTGAAATTTATAAAATAACTTCATTTAAAGAAAAAATATTGGCCAAATAGATTTTATTGTTTTCCTATTTTGTCCAATGACACTGAAATTGGGGAAATGTGAGAATGGATGAGTCTCAAGCCCTTTTGCTATAAGATTCTCTCACAGTGAGCTGGCCCCAAGCACTAGACATCTATTAATCAAATAATTTCACAAAAATTACAACTATAATGGGTGCCACGAGGGAGGGATACATGACAATGCTCTTATTAGAGGGAAATCATCAAAAGCTTTACTAAGGAGCTGGTGTTTCGGTGGAGAATTCTAGGTAAACAGGAATTCCTTAGATAAAGGTGGTGCTTCTCCCAGCAGGAATAGCATGTGCAAAGACCCTGGTGTAGGAGAAAGCATGGACCATAACAGGTTGTGAACCAAAGCCAGAGTCGCTGGAGCACAGAGGTGAGGTCAGAGAAGTGGGCTTCAATATTTAAAATTAGAGTAGGGAGGAAAATCTGCCCACCATACCTGCTCAGGAAAGACTTGCTCAACCTTTGAGTAGGGCATCCCAATGTTTGAATCTTGATGCAAAGGTCTGGGATTTGGTGAGTAGTTTCTAGTTTCTAATAACTGGATTAGGTCCAAGACCAGAAGAGATTTGGAGAATACTTGGTACAGACTGTGGCTCTGGGGTATCTGTCCTAACTTGCACTTCCGGAGGTTCAGTGGCTTTGGACCTGAGAATGTCAGGTCCCCATCAGTGGGTTACAGATACCAGCAAGACTACACTTAAAGCTGTTGCAAATGACATGAGCTCCTGGGTTTAAAGCACCTAGCACAGGGCCTTCTCGTAGGGAGAGGTGGCCATCACTAGTTTAGGATGCATTTTCAAGAAACTCTGAGAACAGTGAGTGTGTCCAGGTGTCCTGCTGGTGTATGGATGCAGGTGCCTGGTTTTGCAATGTATGTGTGTGTGTGTGTGTGTGTGTGTGTGTGTGTGTGGTTTTATGATGTGTGTGTGTGTGTGTGTGTGTGTGTGTGTGTGTGTGTATGTGCACAGATGTATGCCCGTATTCTGGCAGTGTGGGACAGTAGGTGGACAAGGTTGTGTGTGTGAAATGGCCCATGTATTCAGGCGTGTGAGTCGGTGGGACTGTGCTTTGGTGTGTGCAGGGGTGTGTGCAAACACATCTCTGTATAGAATCGTCATGGGCGGATGAGCACATGACTGAAAATGCTCACAAACCCACCACAGTGGATCACAGTCAAGGGGTTAATGTTCCGGCCTGTCTTCACAACCCTTTTCCCAAATCCCCTGCGATTTGGAAAATTGCTGCTGTGAATCCACCCTGGGCTCCTTGGCCTGTCTGCAGCTGGGCTGGGATTCTTTTGAAAACAGACTTTTCTTTGATTCCTTGTTCCCAGATACTGGCACAAGTGTACACAGACAAAATTCCCCTGAGCGTCCCCACCTTCTCAGAGTGCCCATGCCAGTTGTCAGGAAAGCCCAGGTATGGAGGAACTGTCCTCCCTCTGCCTCCTCCCCAGGGTACTTTTCTATGCAATTCCCTTGGGAATGCCCCACATCAGAACGACATACACATCTGACATTCCAGACCCGAGTGTACATAGAAAAACCAGCCCAGGTTTTCTTCAACTATTCTCTCCTCCATTTTCGGCCCCATAGCCCCCCCCACCCCGCCCTGCATTGCTAGGCTGCCCTGGGAGGTGACTTTGACCTCCTTCCCTATCCACTTTGGGATAATAACACTGCCAGCCCCAATTCTAAAATGCAAAACTACTCCAAGTTTTGTCCATGGCTCAAGAGCAAGGAGTCAAGCCCAGCTCTGTGCTAAGAGTTGAGGCAGCCTGAAAGTTTACAAGCTATCGAATCTTACTCCATCCACTTTGCGCATGCAGAGAGGCCAGAGAAGAAGACGCGGCTAGTGATGGGTTCGGGCACCCTCTCACCCTTCCGGGGTGTGGACAGTTAAGCTCCGAACCCTGGCCAGGTACAGAGGGTTGAGGTACTGAGGATGAGTTCAGCATAAAAAGTGGGGCTCTACCCGGCCTCACAGAGGGTTCGGAAGAGTCGTGCCCAGCAGAAAAGGGACAGAGTTCGGCGGTCCAAGCCAGGGCAGGCGTTACCATGGTGACGGGGTGCAGAGGTGGCAGCTCCTCTCCAGAGTGCGGGTCTGCGCTTCTACAGGTCCGTCGGTCCCGCGTGGCCCCGGGTCCCGCCTAGCCCGGGAGTGATCGGACGGGCGGGCCTAGGGCGACGACCCCGATTTCACCTCCGAAGGGCGGCCCGGGTGTCCCGGAGACAGACAGAGAGAGACAGGCGTTACCATGGTGACGGGGTGCAGAGGTGGCAGCTCCTCTCCAGAGTGCGGGTCTGCGCTTCTACAGGTCCGTCGGTCCCGCGTGGCCCCGGGTCCCGCCTAGCCCGGGAGTGATCGGACGGGCGGGCCTAGGGCGACGACCCCGATTTCACCTCCGAAGGGCGGCCCGGGTGTCCCGGAGACAGACAGAGAGAGAGAGAGCCAAAAAAAAAACTGGCGTCCGTCCGTCCGCCCAGTGGCGCGTCCGCCTGCAGCCCCGCCGCCCGTCAGCCGGTTCAGCGCCGACCCACTGCGGAGTCAGAGCAGCCTGCCAGTCTCTCTCAACCGCTCCCGGCAGCTCACAGCCTCTCTCAAGCCTGTGCCTTCATCTGTAAAATGGGTACGGTGAGGATGAGAGCACCTGCCCGTGTTCCAATGTCACTGCCCCTGGGAATTCTGCCTCTCGTCAGGATACCCAGTCTCGGGCTTTCAGATGATGGTGCGGTGGGGTGGGGTCTCTTCTTGACTCCGCCGAACCCATCGTTCCCTCCCGGGCTTCAGCTGTGGGAGTAGACGATGATTACTATGGTGTGCGACATTCAAAACTTTTATTTGTTGAAAGCCTGAGCCCCAATGCAAGGGCATTAGGAGGAGATTGGGTCAGCAGGAGCTGAGCCCTCGTGAGTGAGCTTAGTGCCCTTATGAAGAGCCGCAGGAGCACTGCCTTCGTCCTTCCACCCACCACGTGTGCACACGGCCCGGAAGGTGCCATCAGCGGGGCAGAATGGCGGCCCACCAGAAACCCAACTGCCAGGGCCTTGATCTCGGATTTCCCAGGCTTCGGAACTGTGAAAAATAAATTTTCTGTTGTTTAGAAGTCTTCCCAGTGTAAGGTATTTTGTTACAGCAACATAAATGGATTAAATGATGGCTAAAGTCATTTCTGGCTGGATGACTCAGGGATTCACTGATTTGTTTATTGAATGTTGTGCCAAGTGCTGAGCCAGAACAAGAAAGATGAGATAAAATCCCTGTCCTTGGGTATTGTACAGTCTGGTGGGAAGTCAGGCAAGAAACAGATAAACAGAAAAATGATGGAGTGAATTATTAAGAAGAACAGAGACAGATGTCGACACAGGAAACTGTAGGGGCATCAACTAGGGCTAATGGTTTTGGAAGGGGATGAGAGGCCTTGATCTGAAAGAAGGAAAGGAATTCAGGAAAGTATGTTTGGCGTGGTGAGGTTGGGTAGAGAAAGTTCCAGGCAATGAGAGGAGCATGTGCAAAGGCTCTGAGGTAGTATTAGACTTAAAGCCATGGGGACTGAGTGGAGAGTTGAAAAGAGAGAATGTGGTGGTAGGCATTTGAGTTCAAAGCTCAAGTTTTATCCATTACTCATCTCACACCAATGTTTTAGCAGAGGGAACTTGAGCTAGTAGCATCCTACCTTGCTGTGTGACTTTTGACAGGTCCTTCACTTACCTTGGACCACTGATTGCTCATTGTTAATGTGAGATTAATAATCCTTCTGATAGTTCTCCAATGCCACACAGAATAGAGGATTCCTGATGATGTTTACTAAACAATCAAAAAGCCCTCTCCAATCTGCAGGAGACAGCCTGGATGGCTTTGGTATCACTGGTGCATAACAGAATTGTGGGTGTCGGGTGCAGAATTTAGCTAGGAGTTGGGGATCGTAGCTTAGAGGCTTTAGAGTGCCAGGTTGCAATGAGACAGGGTTAATATGCAGTAAGCATTCTGGAGTCACAAGCAACAGACATTAATCAGAGAAAGAGTGGATTGAAAAGGTATCAGATGCTTACAGAATCACAAGAAAGCTGATGGCCCATTTTCTGGGGCAAGCTGGATACTCCAGAGGCAATGAGTTGGTAGGAATGAGGTGGAAACTCTTGAAGATGGATGAAATTACAAGGCAAACACACACCAAAGTAGAACTTTCTTTGTGTCCAGTACTTTTATAAATGTGCAAGTTATGAAGTAACTTCAGTTATTTTCTCATTAGACAAATTAAAAGCTGAGCCACAGACAGGTTATGCAGCTGCCTTAGTGTCAGATAGCCAGTAAACTCTGGATTCCAGAATTGGACAAGGCTAACGAGTTCTAGAATTATGTTATCAACTATTTTGCTATGCCAGCTGAATGAATCCCAAGCATTTTTCGTGCCCTGTGTCACTCCCTGCTAGATTCAAAGCCTTAAAAGGGAGATTCTAACTAGGGCCCATCTAAGACTGCATATACCAGGAATAATTGGTTCCTCAAGAGGAAATTAGATTGCATAAGAAGGAAGGGGAAATTGGCATGAAATGGTCTATAAACGAGTGCCATTACAGTCCACCCCGTAGGCCTCTTAGCTTCCTTCAGACCCTGTGCCCATGCATGTTCTTCCTTAAATGTATTCTTCTGACATGGCAAGACAGTTCCACATGCACCCAACACCTGTATTGTTTGGACCCATATTATAGGTGACCTCAGGGAAGTTCACCTCTCTGCACCTCAGATTCAACATTTGGAAACAAAATCATTCCTCATAAGACCCTTGTGACTATCAAACAAGTCCATGAATGTAAAGGGCTTTACACTGTGTCTGGTACATAGCAGAATTAATATGTAAGACATAAAATTGTGCTGTTTATGTTTAGGCCCTGATGGCTGTGAAATCAGCCTCTAAATACACAGGTTCACCCACTGGAGTGGACTTGATTCATCTCTCAGGGACTTTCCAGAGGATTCACCAAGGACTAATTAAGTATTCACTGCCTCTCTCTTTGGCAAATGAATAACTGAACCATGCTCCAATTTCTATACTAGATTTTGAGAAATAACAAAATCCTTCATTGATTTGACAAATGGTGGAGTAGAGAAAATGGGGAAGTGTTGTAGAAATGGGCTCTCCTACTGGTTTCTGTGTAGCCTTGGGTAGGTCCACCCTCTCTTGGAGTCAGTTTCCTTAACACAAGATGGTGTTATAATCTCTCCTTGGGAGAGAATTGTGACAATCTAGTGAGATAATGCATTGAAAGGGCTTAAAAGAGTGGCTGGTGTATAATAGGTCCTCAGTAAATGACAGCTATACCTATGTTTGAGGCTCCCAGGCCTGGGTTCCAGGACACCTCACCAGGGGAATGGCTCACTTAGGAGAAGGGAGTTGCCTAGCAGCATATTTTGAGATTCCGAATTCATTCACTCATCCAATAAATGTGTTCTTACCATAAGGATGCCAAATACTTGGCACACATGTATAACTCACCACTTCTGTATCCGTGATAGACATCACTAATCAATCACAGAATTTCCTGCTGAATCTAGCAGCAGCCTCCTAAACACAGTGCAGGCGGCTGCTACTGATCAATATGGATTACTGTGGAGTTTATTTTCATTTGCCACCTGTGATTGAAATTAATAAAGCAAACTGGTATCCAAGAAGACACAGGCTCCAGGGCAGAAAGCTTTGTCTGAATCTTGCCTTACAACTCCCTAAAACCTATACCAGCTAATCCTGTCAACTTGATTGGATTAAGAGACTGCTGAGAAGAACTTGGATCATGGGGGTGCTATACTGTTAGTAGGTTAACCCACTGATGCTGTCATCTGAATGTGCTGCTAGGAGGTGGGGCCCAGACCGAAGAGGTGGGTTGCCAGGGGAGGCGACTTTGGAGGGTTGGTCTCTCATTGGTATCTTCCCCTGTGTTGTGCTTCCTGGCCACCATGAAGTAAGCCATTTTGTTCCACCACATCCTACTGCCACGATGTTCCTGTCCTCGAGCCTGTTGATCATCGACTGAAACTTCTGAAACTGTGAGCCAAGTTAACCATTTCCTCCTTTAAACCGTACATGTCAGCCATTTTGTCTCAACAACAGGAAAGCTGACTAAAACTTGACCCCTGTGCTAATGAGTAGATACTAAAACAGTGTATCAGCCATGGAGATTCCTCCTGAAGAGAGAGTCTGTGATCTGTGGATGCCTGGAGCATCTGCCTCAGTGTTTAAGTTGAGGATATATGCTTCCTGGGCAGTACCCCCTTAGTCTGTTTTCTGTTGTTGTACCAGAATACCTAAGGTCAATTAATTTATGAAGAAAATGGGGTTAGCTAAGCATGGCGGTACATGCCTGTAATCTCAGCACTCTGGGAGGCTGTGGCAGGAGGCTTACAAGTTTGAGCTCAGCTTAGGCAATTTAGGGACTTAGTGAGATCCTGACTCAATGTAAGATAAAAAGGGCTGGGGGTGTAGTTCAGTGTTAAAGCCCTGGGTTTAATTCCTAGTACTATGAAAAAGAAGAAAAAGAAGGAAAGAAAGGAGGGAGTGAGGGAGGAAGGAAGGGAAAAGGGAAAAGAAGAAAAATAAAGAGTGGAATTCAGCTCATGATTCTGGAGGCCAGAAAATCCAAGGTCAGGTGGCCACAAGCTTCAGTGTGAGTTTTGGTGGGGAGAAACCATCATCAAACCATAGCTCAAGGGTTCACCACTTCTGCATAATGCAGGACTCTTCTGTGAATAAAGCCTGCCCCAGAACTCACCTGTGGACTGACCAAGGCCTTCTCTGAGGTGTGCCATACTCTGAAGCTCATTCTACTCAATTTTCTTCCATCCCCTTTTCCTTTTACAGTGTCAGACCAGCATTCGAATCTACTGGTCTTCCCTGTTCTTCCTGTCCCCTCTCCTCTTTACCTGCACGAGTTAGTTAGCCCTGTGAAGTTCTTGCTCTTCTAGCTCTGTTTTTGGTATCTCTTTCCCAGAGGTCACAAGTGACATGATCACTGAGCTGCATGGGATGAGAAGAAGTAGGGCTTCTCCTCTGTGATGGCCAGCAATTACTATGAATATGGGCACATGAATGACAGGAAAGGAGGCTTACAGGCACAGTGGCGCAATCCTTGGCATCCCCTGGAGAAACTGGACTTCCCATCAAGGACTGTTGGTTCCAGATAATAGAAACTCAGCTCAACCTCATTTAAGTAAAAAGGACATCAAAGGTCCTACAGGTGAGAAGTGGCCAGATCCCTGTCACCTTTCTTCTAATAGCTTCTTCCCTATTATTGAAAGATGACCTGTGGGTGGGGATTTAGCTCAGTGGTGCTGCTGCTTGCCTCCCCAAGTACAATTATTATTATTATTATTATAAAATAAAAATAAAAAAGGACCTATGGGCCTACATGGTCTCCACCAGGCAATCCTAGTACAAAGAGGATATCTTTTT